AGGGCACGTCTGAAAGAAGCGTACGGAGTAGACCGAACGACAAATTCGCGTGTCAGAAGACATATCAAACAATCGCAAGGCTGTCTTTGTAGTTGAGGATACGGTTGGATTTTCACTCTATTGAAGAGTTGCTGTGGACTGAGGAAATTTTATCTTATCCGCACTATCTCCGCATTTCTACATGTACCTCGTTAGGTGTTCTTCAAGACAAGCGATGGGTGTCCAAAGTGCCCAGTCTCTTTATGTTCGACTAACGTGGAGTGCACGAACAGTAGAAGATATCACACTTCCTTACTGAGAGGGCAAGGTCGCTACGTTGGGATGTGCTTTCGTTGATATGTTGATTTTCCTATGCTTTCACTTTTGGTTTCTTTATTGGATTGGGTTCATCTATCGGTATTGTTCACAGATGATCAAACAAACGCGTTTTCCTGCGGTGATACGGACTTGGTTATTCATGCTGAATAGCTTGAAATTCATTTTGAGTTTGATTTTCGTTACCGCGATTTTCCCTTGCAGTCGTCATATTGGATTGCAATAGCTGCCAGGAAAGCTGGAGGACGCTGTAGCAAGGGGCTGTTGAACGTGATGGTCTTGGTTGTTGATCTATACGGTATCAACGATTAGCTGAGGCGGGGGGGCTGTTTTCACTTTATGATTCTCCTCAGTGTTCCGTCACAGATGATCAAACGCGTTTTCCTGCGGTGATACGGGCTGAATAGCTTGAAATTAATTTGAGTTTCAGTTCGTTGCCGCGCTTTTTCTTGCAGTCGTCGTATAGGATTCATTGCAATAGCTGCCAGTGCTGCGGGAGGACGCTGTAGCAAGGGGCTGTTGAACGTGAATGTCTTGGTTCTTGATCTGTACGGTATCAATGCTCAGCTTGGGGGGGCCTGTTTTCACTTGATGATTCTCCTCAGTGTTCCGTCACAGATGATCAAACGCGGTTTCCTGTGGTGATACGGACTACATATACATGCTGAATAGCTTGAAATTCATTTTGAGTTTGAGTTTCGTTACCGCGATTATTCTTGCAGTCGTCGTATAGGATTGCAATAGCTGTCAGTGCTGCGGGAGGACGCTGTAGCAAGGGGCTCTTGAACGTGAATGTCTTGGTTCTTGATCTATACGGTACCAATGCTTAGCTCGGGGGTGGCTGTTTTCACTTGATGATTCTCCTCAATGTTTCGGGGGCTGATGCTTGAACTGCTGGGATCGCATTTTTCGCCAGGAGATTTCGTCATGAGTTTCAAGAATTTCCTGGTACGGCTCACTCCCATGGATGATGCGGTCGGAGTTGTTGCATACCCCGAGTAAGACGAACTGCGTTTGTGAAGAACGACTGGCCCACCGATAACAAAGCATGCGCTGGTGGGGAGGCCGTTTGTATTGCGTCGTCGAGCGACTTTTTTCGTGGTATCCTAACGTGTCTCTGCTACTAAAACGCAAAATCTCCCTCCGAATACTACCAGACGGGGCGAAACTGTTGCACGGTAGCAGTCTCGGACGAGTGAGCCTCCCAATGGTACGCACGACCATTCAGAAAACACCCAATTCGAAGTCGTGCGATACCTGCTTCGGGCTACAGCAGTACCACCCGTCGGGTCGTCCGATGTCGTGCATAAATACGCTTATATTACCAACAAAGAACTGTACGATACGAACCCTGCACGCATTTGACCGCGACACGGGACGGCACACCTCAGCCGTTGGCCTTCGTGACCCGCCGCCCGCCTAGAAATCCCCAGATCGGAGGACTCAAAGAGTTCCTGCACATGAAGCACAACGGCGAGCGCTACCTCAGAGAGACCCTCGCCTGCCTCTCGGCGGTGACGTGCAGAACCGATTGGCGATGGCCAGCTGTGGTGCTCTATGAAGCGCTAAGTGTCGCTTGCCATGCCCTTCTTGATCGCCATGGGCCCGGCGCCGTATGGTGGTTTCATGGCGTTGGGTGCTTCCCGCTGTATCTTTGAGGTTCCCGCGAAATGATTCGCATGATGCCTTGACGAGGGAACCGATGTTCATCTGGAGCCAATACTCTGCATTTTCAGTGCAGTCGCACGACACTCTTGCATAAAGACACGTGAAAATACTGCAAAGCCAACAAGACAATCCAAGGTAAATGGTATAATGTCGGTGAAATATGTGGACTATGTGGAAACGGACCAGACGAATTTCACTCCTTTCGTCCATGATATTCGCAGCAGATTCGGCGGTATTCGGAATACCCTACACCAACTGTGACAAGCGAGGAAAATATCATCCGTCACCCCACCTTGCGATCCCGCCCAATCGCATTTCCCCGAAACATATGCGCCGTCCGGAGCAGTTTCTGACCAGCACACTGTTGCTGACGTTCCTCCGCTGAGGCGTTTCCGTCGCTGATGCCCTCCGGCGCGCTCCGCGAAGGATGTGTTTGGTTTTCCATCCCTCACCCTCCTTTCACGCTTTGCTCGTGGAAACTGAGGGTTGCGCGCGTCCTCCAACCCCGTGGGCGAGTGAGGCATTTTGTTCTCCCTTTATTCTCCAATCCACCTGCGCTCTCGTTCTCGGCGGTCGTAAGGCCTCCTAGAATGGCAACACATTAGTCTACATTAATAGCGACCACGTGTCGATTTCGGCCGAAGAGCGGCTTACGCAACAGCTGGGTGAAGTCGCGGTGTAGAATAAAAACCGTTACCGAGTAAACCCTTGCGAAACTATTGCATTCACTACGTAGCTCTGAGTACTCAGCATGATAGTAGTCAGTACCAATGGAAGATGAAACAGGGCACGACCCGTACTCGAAAAATCACCAAATAATACAACCAAGTCAAGTGCGCATGATTAACCTATTAGTAGGACAGACCTGAGCGATGAACGCAAACCCCCAAACCAAACCAAAACGAATAAGAAATCAATCAATACACATTCTCTGCCGTGACGACACGAAAACAATTCACGTTGGCGAAACGGACCGACCTCCCCGCGGAAGTGCGGAGTGTGCCGATAACCGCGCTGGAAGAACATTGGACAATCTGAACGCGACAAGGACTTCAAAATTGAAATGATCATCCTTTGCCGTAGTGCACATGCATGGTGTGGCCATCACATCATAGCCCCGCCGCAGAAGTCATTAATGACCACAGCCCCGTTGCTCGCCCGGTTGGCCGAGGATGCTCCTTTTTGGCTATTTCCTTGAGGGGAAAACGCAATCTCCGACTCAATAAATAGGATGTGACGGAGCGTCATCTCTTTACGTCTTGCTGGCGGTATGTGCAAACCTAGGTGAACCAGCCGTACACACACGTGAGAATCGTTCTGGCTGCACAGGGGGTTCGTCTTATGTATGCGGTGCACTACACGTACGGGCTTTCCTGCCCGAGCATCGCCATATCGCATTACCTTCGTCACGTCATGCGACTGGAACCTGTAACTGAATTTGCATATATTTATGATGCAATAATGCGCTTGGGCAAGTATGTGCTCATCCCATCGTTCCGTTTCTTGATGAGAGCTGCAGAACTGCTCCAAAATCAAAGTCATTTTTACCGCCTGGCTGTTAAAGGTGACTTTTGCACGACAGTCGTTTCACTTTTATAAAAGTCCCCAAACTGACTGTTAGTAATGTGCACCCACCTCACTTTCATAAGAGTCAGCTGACTGTGTGAACTGACATCTCACTTTCATAAGGGTCAGCTGACAGTCGTTTCACTTATATAAAAGTCCCCAAACTGACTGTTAGTAATGTGCACCCACCTCACTTTCATAAGAGTCAGCTGACTCTTGTGAAAGTGAGTGAACTGACTGTCATAACAGTGAAAATAACGATGACTGTTATAGGAGTGAGCTGACTCTTATAACAGTCAACTATTCACGTTTATAACAGTGAATCCATGTATAAGATTGTGTGGGCGCCCGCGTCATCTCCGGGATGAGGAAGAAATATTCTCGCGAATAATAGTACACAAGATAGTAACATTCCTGTGTCAACCAGAAAAAAGGCACACGAAGGGTACCTCGAAAGCACGGACACACACCGATCGCAGGCAACTCAGAGAGAGCGACCTCGGTGGCCGTATGTGCGCTCCTATACAGAAAACTGGTGATTCAACGAGTCAAACGCTACAGAAGGTATCCCATTCCACGGCTCTCAAGAGCCTGAATGTCAATATTGTACAAATGAATCGCTACAGAATGTATCCCATTCCAAGGCATTGGAGAGCCTGACTGTCTAATCGATAACAGCCCGAAACGCTGTTATCGAAAAGTAAGGACGCAGCAAGACGGCAGTACAAGCTCAACCGAAACAGTGTATGAGAGAAACGAAAACGGGCCATCCAGCACCGCGAGAACGTGGGGACAATTTAGTTCTCCCGCGATACAATACCTACACCATCCGAGCACCGACCTCCGTCTCGCCCACAGCGTAAAGCGTAGCCATCCCCCATCTCCCCGACTCTCTCTAACGGGGCCAGCGAGACCAATTCCGCTCCCTACTGCACAATCACAGCTACGGTGATACCGTTCAAAGCATGGTCAATTAGCGTCACCACCCCTGGTAAAACCAAGTTGGATAGTAGAACCGACCATCGTAGAATCGAGGAACGAACATGTCCTCAAGAGCTAGCGCTACACCGCTCCTCTGGATTTTCGTCCATATGGGGAGCCTGTGGAGTTAGAGGGCGGGCAGGCGATCAGAACGAGCAAATGGGGGCGCCGGGAAACCTGCGAAGAAAAATGGGTTCGTCAGAGAGGTTTGTGGGCCAGAGAAATGAGTGGACGGAGGCAGCTAGTGGGAGCGTCAAAGAAACGGACGAGTCAAGAAGCAAGTGTGTGCGTCGGAGAACGGGTGGGTCAGAGTCTCTGATGGGTTCGTCGAAAGAAGATATGGGTGGGCCGGAGAAAATAACGCGATCGAATCAAAACAGCATTATTGTTGATACAGACAAGTTCAGACGTGGGCTTGTTTCGCACTGCTGTCGGGGACCTCACCCAGCCATCGGTTCTCAGGAATCCATCTAGTCGAGGAAGTCGAGGACGCAGTTGGCGTAGTGGGTGACGGTGGCTGGCCAGTCGGTGAATACTCCGATCACTCCGACGTCGCGGGCGAGCACGTCCAACATTGTCAGCATGTCCGCGTCCTTCAAGATGGCGTCGGCTACGGACTGGAGGCAGCAGCGAAAGAAAGTAGGACACGAAACAAAATCAAAGCGCCGATGGAGCGGAGAGTGAGTGTCGGCAAGATCTTTTGATCGCGAAAAATTCTCGTTCGCGATGCCGACACCTTTATATTTCTCAGATGGCGGCTGGATGAGTCGCACAATAGGAACAGAAGATCATCCCCACAACTACAACAATCACCACCACCAACGACGACAACAAAAACTGTATAAAAAGCACATATTCCGGAGGATGATGCAAACCTGCACTCGTACGACACATCTCTGCGAACCTGGTAGTAGTAACCGCCGCCGTCCGTCAGGAGGCCTGAGCGCTCGAGCGTCCACGTGATGATGTCAAGGCCGGCGGCGTTCGCCTCGTGGGCGTAGTTCGAAGGCACGATCACTCCGTCCTCCAGGGTCACCAGGACCCACATCGGGGGAGCGACCACTTCTACACCCTTGGCAACCAGGTCGGCCATCTGCACGGACCACGTCGTGGGGTCGTTGGGATCCTCCACACCCTCGTCGAACCGATCCTCGAGGAAGACCGCCTGTTCCCCGAATTCGGGCTCCGCCGCGATCCAGTACTCCACGTCCGCGAGGTTGAAGCTCTGCGCCCAAACCTTGGCCGGCTCGATGCCGCTCGCCTTATACTCGTCGATCATCTGCTGGGCGTAGTTCTCTTGGGTGTAGTCCCCCTCAAAGGGCTGCTCAAACGATGAGGGACGCACGCGGGACGCAACAACAATGTTTGACCAAGGATACCTAGAACTCAACGGAACTGTGGACAGAACAAACTGAAGGTAGGGCGGGGACGAAAGGCCTTGTGAGACCACGACTTCAATAGGCACTGCAAATGCTGAAGAATGGGAAAGGCGAAGAAACGTTCGTTTCGCAGTTTTTCGGCGAGGATATTTACTGTAGTGCCGGCTGATGTGGTTTCTGCTGTGGGGTGCGACGTTCTCGAAGACTCCGACATAGACAGATGCTTGATGCGGAGGATGTGTATGGTATGGCCGCGCAATAAATCGATTTGCTTCGACTTGGAGCCAAAAACACGATATGGCTAAAACACCCCCAGATCTGCTCTCGAGCCAGGGCAACTCAGAGAGGGTGGAGGTGACGAACATGATCACGTCTTCGAGTGATGAATCGTCATCTGCAACTGCCAGCAATTCAGATTGGGAGTCTACCTAGCCCTCCCAGGGTGAGAGCTTGTTTGTAATCGCGCGATGTAACAGTCTAACAAGAGAGCAGACCTGGGGGTGTTTTTAGTTTTATCGTGTTGTTTCTGGTTCCCAAGTCGAAGCAAATCGATTTTTGCGCCACGCACGAATTTTTGCAGCACCTGAACTTTGTGACGACACTCTTTCCCAACTGTACTCTCATTGATGTACTCACTACGTTCACTAGCATGCGAAGGGGACATGACAAAAGTGATTTAGAATAGCGTCCGGAATTTCTTGACTCAACGGCTGAATCATAGCCGAAATGCTCGCAGCTGAACCACGCTTCAATTCTGATCTTCGCGAGGGGCTCCGTAAAATCATAGCAACGCGCATCGCGGTTGTACGTGACAAGCCTGTAGATCCAAACTATATCAAGAATCGAACACAGATCAACTTCGACAAGTTTGGCTCATGCAGGTGGCGCTCGCACTTAAGAACGTAGCAGTTGAGAAATGAAGCCTCGGAAAAAAAATCAAAATTTAAGAACTTGGCCATAAGAACACGCGCTCAGTTCCGGCGTGGAATAAAGTACAAGAACCCGCAATTGTGGTGTACCATGCGCATTCAGGTAAAAACAGACCCCAAAAAGCGCGGCAGCTGCAAGATAAGAACCCATGAAGGTGGTGAGGGGTTGCTCACGGGGGGCACGGTGATCCCACCCACCGGCGGTTTCAGATCAGCCGCGAGGAGGGGAACTCCGTTTCAAATATTACTGGTGCGGAGGGGGGGGGAGGGGGGCGCACTCTTTTGTTTTGCATACCTTAGCGGCTACACCATTGACCACGGGTCCTCGAGAGGACGGAGAACTGTTCCCACAGGACCGAAGACCGATGGCCAATCGCTCCTTCTTACTACTTTGCTAAAAGTGTCTAACACATGTTTTCCCTAGCGTGTCTCTCCAACCGGCATCACTTCCCGCCTCTTCAACCTACTTTCTATGCCCCAGTACAGCTACCGTCTTCTCCCGGCTATTCCATGCCTCAAATATCTCCCTGTATTTTCCTTCTACTTTCCCCCGCTCAGTCATGTACAATTTTCTTTCCTTGTACAACAGACATTCCACAACTACAGTACACATAAACCCGGTCTTTGTACTCGGAGCCGCCTTCACATATTACCTTGGTCGGTGCCGAGGGGGAAGGGGGGGTGGGGATGGTGGTTAGCTTTGTTGAACAAGGATATCCCTGTCTCGTGACACTGGGGTGCCTGCCACGCTGCGTGCCATGCACGAGAGCCCCTTCAAAACATTGAAGGGGCTCGGGCAACTGTCAAAGTTGAAAGGAATAGGTGTCATTCTTGATCGACACTTTCTTCGAGGCCATCAAAAAACATGCCATTGCTGGTAACTGCCCACGAAGTCAGATTGGGAGGCTATCGAGTCGATGTGGGGGCGACGAATGCTTACCGACGCCTCTTCCTTCGTCGCACCCACCGGTTTTCCAGGTCAAGCGTCTAAACTCGCTGCTCTTGACCGTTCGTTTCTGCAGCGTGGAGTACTCGTGAACCTGAGCATGGGCTGGTTAGGCGATCTGACCATTCGGCAGTCTCAGGAGCCTACCCGCCACCTTTACGACTACTACTACCGTGTGCATTTCGAGCCCCGAATGAAATTGCCGTTGGACGAGTACAGTGGAGATGCGGGTGGGTGCGGTGGTAGGGCCGTGGGCTTGCTTGAGGAGAGCGCCGTAGAGCGGGGAGGACGATCACGCCGAACGTGACCCTTGTGGACCTCTAAATGGTTCAATGTTTGCTCGGATGTTTCAATACTTAGGCGATGCCGCGTCTGTATTTCTACCCTATCGTGATCACGGAAGCTCGGTACGTCGGGTCAAGAGGTCTTTGTTGAGCGACGTTCTATTGTAACTCTGTTTTGTGAACACCCTGCTCTCAAGTGTCAGGTTGAATCCAACCAGGAAACAAGAACCCGGTGTCCTCTGAATGGGGCCCTCGGAGTAGAAATAAGAACAAGAACCCCGTTTATCATACGGGTATGCCTGCTCGAACTAAGAACTTTGAGAATAAGAACAGTTGCTCAATTTGAGGCAGCCAATAGGCATCGAGCCTCGGCAAAATAGGCGGTTCTTTAAGTTCGGGCGTCATCTGTGCTGATAAGACACCGATCATGTGAGTTTTCCCGGTACATCAGCTTCAAAATCCTATTTTTTCCTCTACGCATCGGTTTTGCCATGACCCTGATTTCGCCGCTTCTCAGGCAAGGGCAAGAAACGGCGCCGATTGGCCTTCGTCGACAGCGACGGCGGGGAGGAGCAGCCTGATGAGGACGAGTTAAAAAAAAATAGTTTAGTGGGGTTGCGAATGTTACTGGCCCTGGACCGCAGCTACTTTGGAGTTCTCGTCCACTCCTGGCTGTAGAGACATGCGAGGTGTTTGCTTGTCTTGAATTTTCCAGACTGCTGCATGTATACGGATGGGCACGTAGCAACAACAGCAGCAGCGAGTTAACAAGCTGAATGTTTTGAATTTTTCGCTTTGAGCTTGTAGAGTTTGCTGCAAGCATTCTTTGTTCATAGCTTACGCTTTCTTGTGCCAAGCAAATGGTCTGCATGACAAACCACATAAACAACAAATGGTTGATTTCGTGTGTGAAATGGGCATACTGACTGCTAGTGTTGAAAACCCATCTAATTGCAATTCACCTTTCCGATATCTATTCTATGATCAAGTAGTAGAAATGCGGTATACTTCAGTATTTTACTGATGATAGTACTTGCACGCAAAGTACGCAGTCAAGACTTGTTGTCATAAGGGGCGTTCACAACCAACCGTTACCAGACCAGTTTTCAGCGTGCGAGAGGCAACAAAATATTTTCATCGTAGCGCATGGGACTTGTCTACGGCCATCGCGTCTCGACAGACCCTTGACCTCTGATATTATCTAAGATTCGCCCACACGATACGGCTGGAGGACGGTTCTTCAAGAACCCCAAGGCATCATTCATAACGAGCGTCAGTTCTTTCGGGAGAGCGTGGATCTCCCCGTCCCTATCCACCAGTCACTCTATCTACTGATATCAGATGAGTTCAAATTTTCTACGATCGTATCGAAATCATCCCTAGAACAACACTGTTTTTACCTATCCGCCCCCCACCCGCCCCAGGCCCCCATTTTCGTTTGGCACTTTAACGCGTCCTCTTTTCCCTCCTCCTGCTCTCGAAGCGGCTCGAGGAGCGAACCAACGAAACAAGCCACCAAGAACGCACAGCTCACCATCTCAACAGAAGGGGACTTGAGCTCGGGGGTGAACTTCGCGCCGAGGCCGTCGATGAGCTTGATGGATTCCGCGTGGGTCATGAGGGTTCCGCAGGACGAGTACAGGTCGGTGCGGAAGTTGGCCGTGCCGCCCAGGTACTCCTCGACCGTGGTGGCGGAGGCGTCTGAGGCGTCCATCTTTCCGCAAAGGGTGCGGAACTCGGCGAGGGTGATGTCGCTGGTGCAGCACGTGGCGGTCGCGTCGGTCCCCGCAGCCGCGTCGGCGGGCACGAACGGGGAGGTGCACTTGGCGGCGAGGTCCGTGGCCTGGAGGAGAAGGTTTGGGGTTGGACAGAAATTTGTGCGGGGGGAAGGAGGATAAGCGCCGTCTTTTTATCTTGCTTAGGACGGGTGTCTAAGGGAGGTGGGGAGGGTTATGGCAATTCCGTATGCGTATGATGAGAGCCAGCTGCTGGTGCCCTGCATGCTACCAGTACATCGTACACGGGAGAATAGGAGATACCAATGTACCGATTGCACGGATGAAAACATGGTGAGATGGTTGGGGCGAGTGTTGGACACCTAAGTTGTTCTTCACCATGAATCGCTTCGCACAAACGGTGACGAGTACGTTTCAATGGTGCCTCCAGCCGCAACCCGGAGTTTTTTTCGGGGCGCCCTCCTGTGTCCGATCACGAAAAGCGTTCTGCAACACATTCAACGCCCTGTTATCCCGGTATGCACCGAGTTCTGAATGCATGGGCAGCTTATACCCCACCACCAATACTTCTGAACCCGAACCTTCCTTCTGACACTTGGCATGCACAATACCCAGGGATACAATAAACGTTTGACACGGAACCCGAAGAATGTCGGTGAGATACGCGCGTACGACTCCACATGCTAGCTTTGGAACCATGCCAAAGCCCTACCCATATACGTATGTGGGAGTTTTACGGCACGCTCAAAGCCCCCTACCCGGAAGTCCGAAACCCTGCAAACAGCAGACCAGTAACGGCCGTTATTATCGATCGCCCCCCCCCCACCGATTCGTGAATAACATTCAAAGGAACTTCGAGCAAAAACGAGGCACCTCTGAGAACGTTGAAACTCCTTTGCGTACCGAGAACGTTCCGACAACTACATTGTCTCGCCAACGGGGTAAGCACTTCTCTTCCTCCAACAAACAGGTACGATGGTCGCGACGGCAACCGTAGTTTCATCATCCGGATAAATATCGCGGGAAACAATATTGTATAACAGCCAATTGTTAATAATTGGTGAAATCTCGTTAAGTCGATTGTCTTCTTCGGATGCTTTGTGGCGCGGACAGTTAATGGCAACGTGCGTGGATTAGGCATCATCCTGACCCCTGAGCCGCATTCATCCGTTGCTTCTTTTTCCCGCGCCCCCGGCACAGCCACTGCTGCTTCGCATCGGGGCATGCTTGTGATCAACCTGGGCCTCCTCACAAAATAGCGCGCTCTCCTCTCACCTATCAACTGAATCTATCTGCGGGGTGTGCGGGGGCCTTCACTAATAAATTGGACGTGCCGACCTGCTGTGTGTGTGATTGTTCTCTCTGGCAAGGGTTGAATTGATGTGTTTTCGACCAACCGAAGTGCTGTCGGAACGCCTTGATCAACCACAGCGAGACGGAGGCATGACCAACAGAAGCTGGACACTATCAAATGTTGATACCAGTCTTGCCAACCACGCAACCCACATGTGGAAAAATTTGGGAACCAACTTTTTTTTGCCGTCGGTTTCTATTCCCCCTACTTTCGACGATTTGACGAAAAATTGACTATCGCAAACTCTCCAGTATATTTTTGTTTTCCGGCCTCACCCACCAAGATGTTGGTGGTGGTGTGAAGATCGCACTGGGCGTGGCGACACACGAGCTCCCTGTCCTTGGTGAAGGTGACCTGTGCGACGGGGACATCGATTGAAAAGAGAGGAGTGGACAGCAGCATCAGCATAAGAATCATCACCATCATTATCAGCAGCAGCTTTTATGCAGCGTCTATGCGATGTTCAGAGAGTTGTTGCATACCATGTGCACTTTCAAGCAAACGTCAACATCCAGCACCTCTTAACCCTTTGAAGACTGGGAAATTGTTGTATTTCAAATTTTCAGCCCGAAGAATTATCGACACATATTCTCAATGTCTCTGACGGAGCGGAGCAGCAGTAACGCTCTCTCTCATTTCCTCTGCTACTTTCTGTCCTCTTGTGTCTCTGTCTCTGTCTCTCTCCCTCGTGCTAGTTCTTTTTCCGCCAAACCAGCTGCAATCTCAACCCACACACAGGCGAAAAGAAAAGTCACCGCAAAACCCTACACTGCCCATCAAATGTCACTTGAAGAGAGAGATAGATGGAGGGAGCGTTGTACTTGGAAATCCGATCGGGGACTAAAGGAACGGTAAGGGGACGACATATGCACGGGGCCCCTAATTGCCTTGCCCGGGGCCCCGCCACCATTTCCGGCCGTCTGCATTAGAGTGGGGCTGATAACATGGGGTAGATCTGATGCACGAAGTCACCAACAAACACACACAACCCAAACGAAAACACCTCCCCAAACACACATTACCGCCGTACCATCAACTGAACGCTCGGAGTCACGAAAGGGCGAATTTTCAGAGTACACCTCGGGAAAGTTCCTGCCGTTGTGGGTGGTCCCGGTACCGGCGGTCATTTCAACCCCGGCTTTCAGTGGTACAGGGAACCGGCGAACGAGTACCGCCGAAAAACGAAATACCACCTCCCGCCGAAAACGTACCGTCGTCATGGTGCGTGACTGCCGCGAAAGTACCACCAAAGAACGTACCGGAAACCTCCAAAAAAGTATCGACGTATCGCCGTACTGCCGAGAAAGTACCACCATACTACAGTACAGCCATGTCGCCACACCGCCATATAATCCCGTCACGTTTGGTAGTTTGTATATAGGGTGCATAATGAACGATTGTCCTTACGAAGGACAGGAGTTCGAACCCAGTTTCTTATTTTCTCGATGACCTTAGCTTGTAGACGAGGGTATCCTAGAGTGCACTGCTGTAGTCTGGGCTCTGCAGGGTGAGAGGACGAGCTGATCGATTGATGTTCCCACTTTTGACGCTATTATCACGAGCGGCCATCCTTGTGGAGTGTTTCCCAGCTGGGCTTGAATCTGAATTTGCGGCCGTCCTTTATTGCATTTTGTTTATTGTTGTTGTTGTTGTTGTTGTTGTTGTCTTCAATTAGAAACCGTTCCGGTCTGTTTATACAGTCTATCTTACTCGTGGAATCTGACTGATCGTGTTTCCGCGCACCTCTTTTTTTCGGAGTACGGCACAACAAATCCATCTCTCACATAGAGAAAAGAGTGTACATGTACGTAAGATAGCAATGAATTCATAGCGTCAGCGAAGACTACCTGTCCTATTACGGTTTCCCGATCAGCACACAGCGACATCTCCCTTGTGGGTAACAGGCTCAAGGTAGTTCGGTGGCCATCTTGTGTATTTGGCTGCATGTTAGCATACCTCTCCTTTCAGTTTTTCATATCTTTGTTGCCTTTCGTTTTTCATCAAGCTCCTCAATTTGACCCTGGACAGTTAACACAGCATCCTGAATCACACCAGCAGGTATGTCGCGCAAAAACTCACGTCGCACTCGATGATGCCCGCGCCCTGCTTGGTCGCGGCCTCGTACGACTCCCTCGTGTGCTCGGGGTACTGCAGGCACGCCCCGCGGTGGCCGATAGAGAACTTGTGCTGGGTCATGTCGACGTCGCACGCCTCCAACTCGGTCTTGAGATCGCTGTCGTCCATGCGGGAAACCAAGAACTCCGGCCGGTAACCAACTTCGGCATCATTTCTCCATCTGTGCCGCCACTTGCTGTAGCCGGCAGCGGCCGGGGCCGCGAGGGCTAACAGGGATACAAGCAGGATCACGCGAGCGGCAGCCATTGTTTGGAGTATCGTGCCAGATGGGCTGGGAGTGCGCACATGATTTCGGCATGCTCATGTTCTACAATACTTCCGGTTTGCACGAGGAAGCGAAGATTTGTGAAGATAACATTCGATGATAAGATTCGATTTATGATGTTTCGCCGCATACGGCCCGACACGGATCATGCCCCGACGTCCCGAGCCTGTGCTTTTTGGGCGCGCTTCCTCGCACACACCCCTCAACGCTCGCAGGAGCACGCCAGGAGCATCTGAGCAAGGGGGCGGTAGCAGGAGCAGCACACAAGTTAGTCGTTCGGCTCCACGTAGACACACCCCGCGGCAAAGGTGACCCTCGGTCATACATGGTAGACCTCGCCGGTCAGAGTCTAATGGTGACCTGAAGACGCTGTCAGGACCAAACGGGAAATTCAAACAAAATGGATTGCTCATAGAATCGAAGAGGATATCCACTCGAGACTAGCGGTTAGGTGCTCTTTAAGTCCTCGCGTGAAGGGTACTCGAGGGGCACCGGCTTGATAAATGATTGGAATGGGCTAAACTTTTTTTTTTGTTGGACGCACGTCATTGGCGCGCAAAGTGACAGTGCCGTTCAGAGAGCAGGGCGCAAAAAAAACGAAGGATTCGGTATAACCGTGAATCCGTGGTTTGTGGAAGCGTATCGGAAATTTCGTGAAAGAGCGGCGAGAGACAAAAAAGGGTACACGGGGGTATAGCTATGTACAGGATACAGAGAAGAGAGAGAGGTTGGCAGAAGCTTTTGGGATCCTTGGGAAGCCGAGGACCTCGAAGGGAAAAACGTTGCATCGCCCGCAAAGGCAGTGAAGCAAAGCAGCAGCGAGAGAAAAGAGTTTTCGTTTGGGACTTGATCGAATTTTTGTCCTAGACACGCCAGAGTGATGAACAACGGCAACAACCTGCAGCAGCAGGGTCAGGGTCCCCCCCAGCAGCTGCAGCCAGCGCAGCCAGCGCCACCTCCACCGCCACCACCGCCGCCTCCCAACGGACCACCGCCCGCAGCCAACCAACAACAGAGCAGCGGCCGCGGAGGAGGAGCAGCAGCGGCAGCTCCCCATGGTGGCGAACAGGCAGTAGCAGCAGGAAACCAGCCAGCAGGGGCGGCGGGAAACCAACAGGCGGCAGGAAACAACAACGCGCGCCCCCGCAGGAGGAGGAGACCAGAATGCGGGCGGAGCCGCGCCAGCCGGGCTGGGAGGCCCACCTCCCCCCATCAACCCAGTCCAGCTACTGCTGCAGATATCTGTACTCCTAAAAGAGCAAAGCGATCGACTCGGCAACCTGGAGCTCAGGATGGAGCAACAGCAGCAGCAGCACCCGCAGTACCAACAGCAGCAGCAGCAGCAGCAGCAGCAGCAGCAGCAGCAGCAGCAGTATCACCAGCAGCAGCAGTACCACCAGCAACAGCAGCATCAGCAGCAGCCACAGCAGCCTGGCCACCTCCCCCCTGCCGTCCTCCAGCAGCAAGACCAGCCCCAGCCTATTAATCTCCCGCTAGGCGGCCAGCTCGTGCTACAGCCCCAGCAAGCACAGGCTCTGGGCCCAAATATTAACGTGTTAAACCAGGGCCTTAACACCCAGTCGCCCGTTACAGCAACAACTACAGGCCACACGGAGCAGCAGGTGCCAACTCCTGACAATACGGGCCCCATCCAGAGGTGGGGCCAACGCGGGCGAGGAGGGCGGATGACCCCACGGTAGCAACTTTTGTAGACAGGAGCAGGACCGTGGCGCTAACTGAAGCGCCTCTTCCCGGGTTGGTGGCACCGAACGTGTTCTACGGTGAGAGAAGAAGTACCCGCCCGAGTAAATCAAGTACGAGTAGTGAGGACCATGAAATTACTGCAGACCCAGAGCTATTGGACCCCTCTAACCAAGGAGTAGAACAACCGTGTACTCGTAGAAGTACCAGCCAAAGTAGACTACGCACCAATAGTGATGAACATGAAATTACTGCAGAACCAGCGCTAATGGACCCCTCTAACCAAGGAGTAGAACAACCGTGCGCTAGACTTGAACAAGTGAGAGAAAAACATCCCGTAACACGGGAGAAAATAATAGACCCGGCGTGAACGCTGGAAAAGACCCCCGTTACCGGGGAGAAAAAGACCCCTCGCACCAGGGAGAAGATCGCAAGAGTGCTAGACCCAATACGTGTATTGGAGACAAAGACAGAGAAAGACCTAGTGGGAACACTAGAGAAGACCCCCGTTACCGGGGAGAAAAAGACCCCTCGCACCAGGGAGAAGATCGCAAGAGTGCTAGACCCAATACGTGTATTGGAGACAAAGACAGAGAAAGACCTAGTGGGAACACTAGAGAAGACCCCCGTTACCGGGGAGAAAAAGACCCCTCGCACCAGGGAGAAGATCGCAAGAGTGCTAGACCCAATACGTGTATTGGAGACAAAGACAGAGAAAGACCTAGTGGGAACACTAGAGAAGACCCCCGTTACCGGGGAGAAAAAGACCCCTCGCACCAGGGAGAAGATCGCAAGAGTGCTAGACCCAATACGTGAATTGGAGACAAAGACAGAGAAAGACCTAGTGGGAACACTAGAGAAGACCCCCGTTACCGGGGAGAAAAAGACCCCTCGCACCAGGGAGAAGATCGCAAGAGTGCTAGACCCAATACGTGTATTGGAGACAGAGACAGAGAAAGACCTAGTGGGAACACTAGAGAAGACCCCCGTTACCGGGGAGAAAAAGACCCCTCGCACAGGGAGAAGATCACAAGAGTGCTAGACCCAATACGTGAATTGGAGACAAAGACAGAGAAAGACCTAGTGGTAACACTAGAGAAGACCCCCGTTACCGGGGAGAAAAAGACCCCTCGCACCAGGGAGAAGATCACAAGAGTGCTAGACCCAATACGTGTATTGGAGACAAAGACAGAGAAAGACCTAGTGGAAACACTAGAGAAGACCCCCGTTACCGGGGAGAAAAAGACCCCTCGCACCAGGGAGAAGATCACAAGAGTGCTAGACCCAATACGTGTATTGGAGACAAAGACCCCTACGGCAAGAGGGACTCGGATAGTGACGGGTCGGCAGCCTTGCCACCTCCTTATGGGAAGCTACTGGCTGAAATGTGGAGAGAACAAAAGGAATGCCTAGCACGTGGTACACGACTTGACGAAAAACAGGAAATCATTCACGAACTTGCGAAGACTGGTAGCATGCTTCTAAAAACGAACGACGGAAAGTTGGGAGACGTCGCGAGGGAAATCGGCGGCACCTTGGTGTCACCGCCGCTAAACCTGAGCGACCTCGAACAACACTTCGGAACCAAAAAACACTTCCCAGACTAAGCGAATCTCATAGACATCGTAGACAACGGTGTGCCAGCAAAAAACGCACGACAGGCCGCCTAACCTCGAGAGCGCTCTTCGATACGGAAATCACAGTACGATAGACGCCCACACGGAACTGGTGTGGAAGAAGCTGATAGACGACGTCGAACAGAACAGATGCCTCGTATTCGACGTAGCGGACGCGGCTCGCATGAAGGGCGTTCGCGTATCGCCGCTAGGAGCTGTGGTAGGAAAAAAAATCAGAATCATAAACGGTTTTTCTTTTGACCCAAACTAATGCGCGGACAGAAGGGAGGAGTCAACGTGGATACGGTAACGGAAGAAGTACCCGACTGTTTGTGCGGAGAGACTCTACCTGCTTTCCTTGCTGAAATAACGCGCTTGAGAGTCAAATGGCCTGACAAGAGGATACTAGTGTCCACAGGGGACGTGAACAACGCTTACCGAAACGTGAGAGTTGCGCCAGACGATGCACAAAAATTCTGCTATGTGATAGGAGACGTACTAGTCGCCGACTTCAGACTGACGTTTGGATGGGCAGGTTCGCCCGGTTTTTGGGGAGTCATGGCGTCCGCTGCTGATAATTCACACCGCAACACCAACGTACACAACGTACAACTAGTAGACGAAGGGATCGAAATGATGTCACATGTAAAAATAGTCGAGTGGGAAGACGGACCACCCGCCCGAGTGCCCCGAGACGCCAACGTGAAACCGCATGACGGAGGTGGACCCCACGACGATTTCTCGTGCGGGGTGTTCGTAGACGATTTCGCTTTACTGAAAGTACAACATGCGCCAGACGACGCTTCAGCGCTGGTAGCCTCCGCGTCATTAGCGTCTGACTGTGTGAGACTCTTCGGGCCAGCAGAGGCGGGCCAAACGCCCATTCTCTCCCCGAAGAAAAGCACAGACTGGAACACGGAAGTGGACTTTCTTGGACACACGATAGACACCCATAAAATGACGATCGCAACAACACATGAGAGGATCGATGCGATAAGGACCGCGCTAGAGAACAATTGGCCACAGACCAGAGAATTCGCTAGTGTGCAAGAAGTCCTGAGTATGGCTGGAAAAATCTGGAACATGACATATGTCATGAGGGCGGGGAAATATTTCGTGTGGCACCTCTTACGCCTCACCGGCCTAACGACAAGGCTAACAGACGGTCGAGAGAGAAGAGGCAGGTACGTCTCGGTTGGGAGTTCCATGGAGACCTAGACTTCTGGAGATGGGCGCTGAAAGTTAAACTGGCGGAGAAAGGAGAGTCACTTAGCGCGTTTTTCTTGAACCACGTCCAACGCACGCCTTTCCGTCACTACCTGTCGGATGCTAGCTTCGACGCAGTCGGCGGTCACTGTCCCGAACTAAGGGTATTCTGGCGGTATCGATTTAACCCGCGTTTACCGCGGAGCTGAAAAGGAAAGCGGAAGCCAAAGAAACCAGCGCGATCACGATCAACACGCTAGAACTGCTCGGAATGATAATTACATGTTGGGTGGTCCAAATGGTCGTGGGAGAAAAGCCGACGCAACACGGACAAGCTATCATGATGAGGGGAGACGATATGTCGGCGGTGTCGTGGGTGAACAGATGCGGGGGCTCGAGAGACAGGCGAGCGGGACTGCTCATGAGACTGCTTGGTCGCATGGAGATTGAAAACGGATGGTGTCATGTGGCAAAACACATCCCG